AACCAACAAACACACATCGAAGGGCACACGGATCCAACTTAGTGCGATGAATTTTCGGAATATGCACATAAGCCACACAACCAAATACCCGGGGCTTGAGAGTATGAGTAGACATCACCTGAACATGTTGAGTGAGAACTTGAAGAGGAGTTCGAAAGTCAATCACCCGAGAGGGCATACGATTAATCACGTAGACCGCATAAGTAACTGCTTCAGGCCAAAAAATCTTAGGAACAGACGCGCCCAGAAGTAGAGCACGTGCCGTTTCTAAGATATGGCGATTTTTCCGTTCAGCCACTCCATTTTGCTGTGGAGTATAGGGACAGGTTGTTTCATGGAGAATGCCTTGATCACAAAGAAACTCCGACAACTCACAATTAAGATACTCACCACCATTATCAGAACGAAGAACTTTAATTACAGATAAGTATTGTGTCCGAATCATTTGAGAAAAGGTTCGGAATACCATACCAACATCACTCTTATTTTTCACCACATATAACCACGTCATACGAGTGCAATCATCAACAAACGTAACAAACCACTTAATCCCAGAAGAAGTAACAACAGGAGATGGTCCCCAAACATCAGAGTGCACAAGTTCAAACGGTAAAGCTCTTTTATTCATACTAGGAGGAAACGAAGCCCGATGGCTTTTAGCAAGAATACATACTTCACAATGTAAGTCTGATTCATTTATTCCACTAAATAGACTAGGTAACATACGCCGTAAATACCCAAAAGATGCATGCCCTAACCGACGATGCAACAACCACACTTCTTGTAAATTACTAGACCGGGACGCTCGAACCGCATTAGCTCTGCCAGAAACGACGTCGTCCACATAGTACAACCCCTCTCTCTTAGTGCCACGCCCAATTATCTCCTTAGTCTGAATATCCTGAAGGAGACAAAATGATGGATACATTAGAACAACACAATCCAATTGTTCAGTAACCTGTGGTATGGATAACAGATGATGGGATAAAGAAGGAACAAGCAAGCAATGATGTAGGGGAAGTGTAGGGGTAAGATGCACAGTGCCGGCACCACACACGGGTGCCAAAGTACCATTGGCAGTTGATATATTTTTCCTGTGAGATGTGGTCATGTATTGAAACATATTTTTATCATATGTCATATGATCCGTTGCACCAGAATCTAAAATCCAACCTGTATTTGCCATTTAATAATACGCAAAAATGACAATCACAAGTACACGGCAATCACAGCACCCTACCAATTACGGAACCACACGTTGCAAGAACAAACAAGCAACAACAACTTCCGCCGGAGTCAAACCCGTGACCTATTGGATTCGAAAAAAGGCTCAAACCCAACAGCACAGCAATCCACAAACAAACAACACGATACTACGTACACGCAACCACACCACACAGACAAAAAACTGTGCAGAGAAGTTGCTCACCAAATCACCAAAAACACCCTCACGGATCACACCTTTTTTGCAGAAAAATTGCAGAAAAATACACAGCAGAGATCGCAGCAATACCACACACACAGCAACACTGTTTGCTGCAGAAAAAACACTGCAGAAAAACCACACTGCACGCAGCAATACCACACACACAGCAACACTGTTTGCTGCAGAAAAATTGCAGAAAAAACACTGCAGAAAACCACACTGCACGCAGCAAGATTACACACACACACGGTACCACTGTTTTCTGCAGAAAATTGCAGAAAAACAGTCACCCAAGCACAGCGGAAGAAAAAAAAAAAACTAGGGTTTCGGCGCTCTTGATACCAAATAGAACTTTTACGGAATGTTTTCTTGTATTACTTGTTTAGAAATATATATATACATCAGTACTATTATAGTTTTACAAGGAAACAAATAACATATACACAAACCTACTTAATAAAGGACTCCTATTATTTACATTCCCTACTTTTCCTAATATTGACTCATGCTAACAGGGATCCCTAAGGGCTAAAACACTATTGGTGACATACTAGTCAACAACAACAATAACAAAGTTTTATCGCACTAAGTGCGGTCGGCTGTATGAATTCTAAAATGCCAATGCACTCAGTTTTGTGCCAAATTTTCCGTTAGCTCCAAGTATTTCATGTTTTTCTTAAAATCTTTTTCCAACTCTTCCTTAGTCTTCCTCTACCCCTTTTGCCTTGAGCTTCGAGTAATGTTATTCATACCATGTTTTTATACCATATTTCTATACCACCTTAGTTGGCATCTGATGTGGACAGCCACATCATTTGAAAAATTTGCAAAACCCAAGGAAAGGAATGAGAAAGACTCCTCATATACCACAATCATCATTTAATTAACTAGTTTTTCTTAATTATTAGTTTATTAAATAATGAACTAAATTTAAAAATCTGATTAATTCAAATGATGTGGCTGTCCACATCAAATGTCACCTAAGGTGGTATGAAAATGTGGTACAAAAATAAGGTATGAATAACATTACTCTTGAGCTTATGTCTTCTATTCGCATCTTTTAATTAAACCATACTAGGAATCTCTCATATTTCTTATCAACATCCTATAATTTGGGTTGATTAATTAAACCCTAAATTGATCTTACTTAATAAATGGAACCATGAAGATCATCCTTGGAACTAGGAAGCGTGAGAGCTTGAAAATCTTCTAGGTAATTGATACGTCAAAGTTAGTGTTAATCGTTAGATATTGACATCATGCAGAATGCAAACCAAGGTACGGACGTGTGTGTATTAGAGCATCTCCAAATGAGATGTCAAAATTCTAGGTGGATGACACTGTGTATATTTGATATTAAAAGTCTCTCCAACCGAAATGTTATTTGCTAACTGGATTTGAAAACTTAGTGATTTGATGTCAAATTTATTTTTAATTCATTTTAATAGTGGATCCCTTATTCCACTAACATTTTAACCAATAAAAATTTTATTTCAACATTTTTTTAATAATTACAATCATTTAAAGCTCTATTTAAATAATAAAATAACATTCAACAATTTGGTTGAAGAATTACAAAATTTGAAATAAGGCTTCAGATTGCCACATCAGTCATCAATTGTAATTTGATGGTCTTAGGTCCTCTCATATTTCTTATCAACATCCTATAATTTGAGTTGATTAATTAAACCCTAAATTGATTTACTTAATAAATGGAACCATGAAGATCATCCTTGGAACTTGGAAGCATGAGAGCTTGAAAATCTTCTAGGTAATTGATACCCCAAAGTTGGTGTTAATCGTTAGATATTGACATCATGCAGAATGCAAACCAAGGTACGTACGTGTGTGTATTAGGTCCGTAAACATGCACGCGTGCTCGCACCCACACGCACACTGCCGGGATGCCCCAAACACCAAGGAATGGGAGATTGTGTGCGTTTTTCTGTTTTAATGGGCGGGCCAAATCAACTGACTAAACCGAGGAGCTCCAAAAGAGAAAAGTAAAAGATGAAAGTTGTGCTGAGTGTCTACTTCTTTAGGCATTAAAATTTAAAAGACCTCTCCCTCAATTCTTCTTTTCTCCCTGGTGGGACTTGGACAATAGATTTTTCAGAGAGAGAAACAAACAACTTCTTTGGATACTTCCCTTCGTTTTCCATAGAAATCCAAAGAAAAGTTTGTCTAGTCATTTTAAGTTACAGGTTGATCCACCGAGATGATATGTATCAGCCACAATTTAGACAAAGATCACATCACCCTAGTGCATTGGATTGTCATTGTGCATGCTTTCTAAGAAGAGTAGTGGTAGCGATTATTCATGCACATGTGATTTATAAGCAAAGTATTGTAAGAATTATTCGTGCACTGACTCATGTGCGCATGCGTAATAACCGCACATACATAATATTCTTCTTATAGTGGCAAAGTTGAGACTGATCAACCAACTAATCTTTAGTTGATTATACTGACACTGTTTCGTATAGTTTCTAAACCAACTTCTATTAGGAGGCATTAGGGTTCAAATTCCAATCCTTGTAACTATTTTCTCTGAAAGTAAAACCAAGACTCCTCTAAAGAGGAGGAAGCAGACAGATATTAGAAGGCCATACAAATGAGAGGAGGCAGCAAAATATTACTGGGCCATAGAAAAATCTAAGCGCGTCAAAAATTACTTGGCCAACAATAAACTTTCGTTTTATTTTATTAAGGAGTGACTTCCAAGCTCACAAAAGTTTGGTGGCATCTACCAAATTCTCCAAACCTATGATGATATGCACAAAAAAGTCAGCAAACACTACATGCCTATAGTCCCCATAGGCCATGGCCAACACCCCACTTGAGAGCCAATTCCCCATCTCCTCATCCTAAAGATTAGAAGCCCTAGAATCCAAGGAAACACAGGTATTTGCCCTTCCCCACCATCCCTAGCGCAAACTCCTCTGGTTTTAATTAACTCACCAAAGACTGATCATAAGGATGAATTTTAACGAAAATGTTACTCTTACTATACATATTTATATCATTATTTGTACTATTTTTCTAATAGAGATAGGATCCACATATATTAAAGGACCATACTTTTATTATTAGAGATATGATGCAAATGACGGTAATATGTGATAAATGTAGCGCTGAAAACACTCAATAAGAATGACTTGTCTATACCATTAAAAACACACATGATATTTCATACTAGTAATATGATGTCATGAGTTTTAAATTTCGCACATAACATTATATTATTAATTTGAAAAAACGTCAACTTAGTGCCCTCATTTCATATAAGTCATTCTCCTTTCCAAAACCCCCAAATAGGGAGTTGAAATGCATATTTATATAGACTAAAAAGCACATGAATTGTTGATTATTTTAAAGAAAAACTAATGAAAAGAACTTGAAAACTTTGAGTTTTAATGATAAGGACAAAATAAAGGGTAAAGTGAATAGTACCAGGATTGACTTTTTAGTGTAAAAATATGGTTTTTCATTAAAATGAACAGTATCGTAGGCTTTTCATTAAAACTCCTTATTTTAAAGCCAGCTTCCCCACTACTATCAATCATTTCAAACCCATCAATCTCTCCACAATCTCACAAAACCCTCCTTTTATGCTAACATCTCACAACTACTCTTCCCTCCCCATAAATACCTTCAACACCAGTCACAAATTCAAACAAGCATTACCTGCAAACCAAAAAAACCCCATATTTTCAAATTTTCATAATACCATAAACTCAATTTAAAAATTTCACAGGTCTCAAACATGTCTATTATTAGTACAGGGGTGCTCTCGGCAGACCCTGGAGCTGATAAGATACACAAGAAATCGTTCCACCACAGGAACGACTCCGGGGAGCTCGATGTTTTCGAAGCTGCAAGGTACTTCTCAGGATACATTGAAGCTCCCAGCAGCCATAACAACAACAACAACAGCAGCAACAGCAACACTTCGGCATTTTCGCAGAGGATGATGAAAGAAGACAGATCGTCATGGAGAGGAGGCAGAATCAGCCTTGATATGCCTATAAGACACATGCTCCATCATCCTCAGCAAAACCCTAATCACCATAACCACGTGGTGGTGGAAAAGCAAAACAACATCAAAGACAAGAAATACAAGCAGCCGAGCTCTCCAGGCGGGAGACTAGCCAGCTTCTTGAATTCTCTATTCAACCAATCAGCATCCAAGAAGAAGAAGTCAAAATCCAGCGCCACTCAGTCCATGAAAGACGAGGAAGAGAGCCCAGGTGGAAGGCGGAGGAGGAGGAGCAGCATTAGTCATTTTCGAAGCTCGAGCACCACGGATGCCAAGTCCGTGTATTCCTCATCGAGTTCAGGGTTTCGAACACCTCCTCCTTATACCCATGCACAAACGGCAGCCTCCAAGAGCTACAAAGATTTGAGAAGCTATTCGGATAATCACAAGCAGCAATATCAACAGCAGCAGCAGCAAGCGGTTTCTTTATCGAAGAACAATACGAACTTCGATGAGAAAAGATCATCAAACAAAGAACTGACTTGGTTGGATCATGAGAAGTTCAAATTATCGGAGAAATATAAGATTAGTTCCGAGCTAGATCACAAGGGTTTGCTCAAAAGGCTAAGTGAGGTTGTTGACGACGAGGAGGAAGATGAAGGTGCAGAGAGTGATTCGAGCTCTGATCTTTTCGAGCTGCAGAATTATGACCTGGGTTTTTACTCGAGCGGCTTGCCTGTGTACGAAACTACAAATGTGGACAACATCAAGATCAGATCAGGAACACCAATTTCCAATGCTTCGTCCTAAACCTAAATTTGTGTTAGATATTATTGGATTATGCATGTGGTTGAGAAAGGAAATTTTAATTAAATTTCAATTAAATTTCCTACAATTTTCTTTTTAATTACTCTCATCTTAAACTTCCATTGGCCTTTTTTCTATGTATGTACAGTTGAGAATGTTTCTGCTTTTACTTTACTTTTGGCGATATATATTAAGATTTTTAGTATGCTTCGACATATCCTAGTTTTTGCTACTTTTTTACTGTTAGATTCTTATATTTCATGACTAACATCTAAGGGCTAGAAATCTATAAGATCCACTAGAATATATTAAAAAAATTTGGCATAGATCAGCATTGGTCATATATGTTTATGTGGAGCGCTGGAAAATCAGAAGCCTCAGAAGTGCAGCAGTTCTGGTGGGGCTTGACTAGATTAGATTGTGCCATGCCGATTTCGATGATCAGAATTTTATATGAGATGTTCCACTACTAGATTCATGGAGAAACAACGCATCATAACTCACACCATGTGAAGTTCATTCCTATTACTTTTCATGATCACTTTGTACAAAGAAGCGCATTCATGTTTATTGTTAATTATTTTCGTGTGGGTTCTCAGCTCTGCATGTTTGATATGTGTATGTAAATATTTTAGTTTTGATTTTAAAAATTTGGAAATATAGTCGCTCAAGCAGTTTCTCAATGCTTGAATCTTCTTCAAGTGGTCAAAATTGACTAGCCTCTTCGAGCAAAGCTCGAACCACCCTCAACCCCCCTCGGGTTGTTGAAATTCTAAAACTCTGTAAAAGTTCCACATGTCCAGAGTTTGGCTGGTTTCTAAAATTCTCCATAAATATACAAAGTATATATTGTTAAGATTTGCACAAGCTGTGTATAACTATTTCTGGAATATGAGATCTAAACTTTGGATTCAATGGGAGCAAGAAAGAAGAAAGAGAGAGTGCTGCAAAATGGGCTCAATACTGCAACATTCTAGCCGTTGCAGCTGACTGCTCAGATTTCGTCCCATCAGCATGTTTTACATCAATCTTCATGACCATTCAAGTCATAAGCCATGACACATGAAATTACAGGGTATATAAGCTCTGCAACATGAAAACTGATCTAAGCCTTTCGCTTGGCATATGAGACCAAGTGACTACAATCAAAATATGTTACACAAGAAGGCAAATACCAATTAAGTTCACTTATTTACAATAAATTAGCAAAGCAATTTAACTCTTAACATATATTTTGTTTAGTATAAGTGTACGTTCACTGTATATGTTTAAAACTATCAACTTGATACAAAAATTTATTTAGACCATGAATTATTTACACTAAAGAATAAGAAAAAAAACTGAACTTACATACACGGAGATTAAACATGAACACTCTCATGTCACATATTTCACTTTAACATACATGCGGGACATAGAATGGATAGTAAATTGATTTTGATTTCATGGAGGTATGGGAAAAAGCATTAAAGTTTAGTAAGATCCTTACTGCGGGAACATTTTCTTCTATCTTTTGTCAGACTCACGCTCGAATAATTAAGATAAGATGTTGATATACATAATCAAATTCACTTCTGTCTGATCAAATAATCAACAGTAAAAGGCAATTAATTAAGCCTCACACTATTTTCTCAGCATAACGACATCTAGATTCTAGAAAAAGCCAAATTAACGCCCTTTTAAGATCAGTTGAGGACAATTATTCAACACTAATACAGCCAAAAGTACTTTTTTATATTTTTCCTTTATATTTTATTATTTTCTTGGTGCTGAGGCAACAAGCGCAGATTTTATGATCCAAATGGTTAATTTGCAATTGAGATTTAAGAGCAGCCCTAACAGGTTAAATTAAGAGTATTGTTATACTTCTCTCAATTTTTTGTCGCCAAATCAAATAAATTAAAGATGATTAATAGAAAAAAATTAATACAAGGGTAGAGAATGTAAAAATGATTATGTGAACAATAATATTCTAATTTAAACCACCGAGGGCAAGTCAACTGTGACTAGCTGGGGGCAAGGTAATGTCAATTTGGAGAAGGATATGTCTCCATCTACCCACCGAAGCAGGTGAACCGGTGTATTGGCCTTTCACTGGCTCATCTCTTGATGCGTCTAGCTAACTTAAAAGACAATTAATCAAGCCATGATTTGCCAAATTCGAAGGCTGCATCACATACTCGTAGGAGAGAAACTTTGGGACAACTCTTACATGGGATGGTATTAAGAAAAAAAATACAAAGAGTTTTATATATTTGTGAGAAGTGTCCTGCACATGGCGCGGTTCGGTATCCTTACTCATGTTTTAAAAAGTATGTTCGTGTCAACGATATAATTTTTTGTTGTAAAATCTGGTTGATGTAGAATCTGGTTGACCCATGTTATGAGTACAATATACACAAAAAGATATATCCTTAATTATAATGCAGTATATCTCATACTTGTATCTGTATAAATGTGTGAACACAATGCATGTTGAAGAAAGTATTAAAATTGGAGCTTGGGATTGATCATGAATCATGGCCTTTTGGATATAGCCTTTAAGAAAGAATGAGGACTGAAAAATGATTCATAGGCAACGAAAATGCTTATTAAAGGGCAAATGATGCATGGGGCACCAAAAGGTCCCAACCAAAGCATGTAACTGTAACTACCAGAGTGAGTGGAAGGAGGGCCCATACTTATTACTCAAATAAATCAAATGTTACACTAATGATAAACATCTTGCTTTCCCTTGTACCCAATCAATTCTCCTTTCTTTTGTAAAAGGCATCTGCAAAGTAAGAACCCAAGCTCCCCATAACCACTTCACAATAATGGCATTATCCCAGTATCAAATCCATGCTGGCTCCACTTTTTGAACCTTCCCATACACAATTAAATGCGAGAGAAACTTACGGATAACGTGTTACTTACATATTTTTCTCTCTCGATCTCTCATCACGAACGTTTAGCAGATAAGATGTTACTCAAAAGGACAGGAAGAAAGAATGTAGAGGCATGAACAGAAGACCAAGCACATGAGCCTCCAGCAAACTTAACCCAGCTAGCTAGCTAGCTACATATTCCATATATATAAAGTTTCAAGATGCATTTGAATCTTTTGATCGTTGTGTGTTTTTCCAACCACTTCTGGTAAACTAAAGCAATGACAGTCGACATTGTTAATTTATTTCCACATGTGGAAGGTTCCTCAAGGCTCCAGCCAGCTACAAATGTTTTGATATCCATAGCCAGTTACAAGCACACATGCAATATCTTGAGTGCTCAAAAGACATGACATCTTTTGGAACTATAGGTCAGAAGAATTGAAAGAGTTTGATAGTTTGTCTAGCTATCTTATGACTGAGACATTGCAACTGCAGACATAATATCAGGTGTGAATTTAAATATGAAGACCCACTGTAATTGATTTTTGGCCTCAAACTCAAATTATGTACAACAATTTGTATTAATCGTAGCAAACAAGATAGAATGATCATTCAAAATTTGACATCACGTAATGAGCGAGACACTCATGTTATATCACATCACCGGATAAATTATTGCTAAGAAATCTGAATGCACTAACATTTATTGTATTTAGATAGTATCCAATTATTTTAATAAAAAAACTGATCGTTATCTAACCCAATAGCCCAAAAAATTTCAAAAATCAAAGAAAATAATACAACCACAACCCATTATCTGAAACTAAAGAGAAAAACTAATTAAAAAGACTTCACTGACCTGGGTCCTGGCCATCACAGACTTGGTGCATTCCAGATAGCATCAACTGCTCTCCTTTCCTGATCTTCCTCATAGCCCAAATTGCCCCACAATTTACGGTCATTCCCTTCTGTTCCAAGTTCCAACACATCATACTTATCCATGAAGGTAGGGCACGGCCGCCTATTAGTTCAAATGTTCAGTGACAAAATTAGGATTTTACCAAAATTATGGTTTTACCAAAATTAGGGTTTGATAGAAAAGAAAGGTTCGATTTTGTTTTTATCTTTTTCACAGGGGACTTATCACGGACGCCGAAGAGAGATGGATAACTGTCCCGACCTAATGTACCATATATGAAAAAAATAGGCTATGTTACATGAGCTTTTGGGCACGCGCAAATTCTACCCAAAAATTTGTGTTAATATGTCGTGGTAAGTATGCTAAAACAGAGCCGGTAACCTTAACAACTACATCCATGAAGCTCGCATTCGTATAAGGGGTTTCAAACTTTTTTAGCTTTCCGCTACATTCATTCCTTGGGGTTAACACATTCTTTTTTTTAATGGGAAAGTCTCTGTGTGTGTTGGGTAAGAAGGCACATTGGATGAAAGCCAGTAAATATGCAATGGAGTTATCACTTTTTCATGCAGGCCGGATGGTTTTCTTTATGTACTGGGTTTTTAGTGAAGTCCAAGTGTGTATGGATGTAAGCTTTTTTAGTCACAGAAATTGGGCTGAGTAATCCTCTCTAGTCTTGGCCCGTGCGACTACGCACTCTCCCAAAACCACATGAAAATTTGCCAATTAGGCCTTTGTGACACATGTTTGGAGTCCTTGACATAATGCCATCACAATGTTCACTAGTACCTCTTTCTCCCCACAAAATCAAACCGGCCTCTCATCATATAAGAAACATCATCTTTTTGCCACAGACAAATTAGGGTTCGTCTAACAGTACTTTTAAAATGAATAAAAACGTTTTTAATAAAAATAATTTTAGAACCAATTCTTAGTAAAATGATAGGTGAATTTTGAAAAAATATTTTATTACTTCATGTAAAAAACACATAACTGATGATTCTTACAGAAAGCATTTTTAAGTGCTTTTAGAACCCAAAACATTTTCAGCCATTTCAAAGTAGTTCCAAACAAACCCTTACACACTACAAACAAGTTCAAATCAAATGTTCCAAATGACAATTAAGAGGGGTGTATAAAAAATAAAAATGAGCGTTTGGATAGCACAACTGTATGAGTTAATCTAACTATTTTTTGTTGTTTGATTTTATTTTGTATGTGTGTGAATAGCACTACCGTACAAGTTACTCTTTCTATTTTTGTTGTTAAATTTTTATTTAAATGTACAAAATAAAATTT